TACACGCCCAGTCACCGACCCGACTCGGCGCGAACGTCAATCACTTCGAGAAGACACTGGGACTCCTATGGAACGCCGCCGAAGACAACTTGACATTTAACACCACCATGGCACGGGTACCCGTGGAGGTGAAGGAAGAAAGAAGATCGCCGACGAAAAGAGAGGCTCTGTCGGCTGTCATGTCCGTGTACGATCCACTCGGACTAGTGAGCCCATATACAATCGCCGCGAAAATATTCCTCCAAGATCTATGGCGAAGGAAAATTGGGTGGGATGAGCCGCTACCACAAGAAGACGCCGATAAATTCCACACATGGCTACGGGGCTTACATCGCATGGGAGAGATAGCAATCACACGCTGCTATACAACGGCAACGAAATGTCGACGACGGGAGCTACACGTGTTCTGCGACGCCAGCGAGAGCGCCTACGCCACGGTCGCTTACTGGAGGATCGAGGACGAACACGGAGAGGCTCACGTAGCATTAGTGAGCGGAAGAGCAAAGGTAGCGCCTCTCAAAGCGCAGAGTATTCCGCGATTAGAACTACAAGCAGCGGTTATCGGGACAAGATTGGCGGACACGATAAAAACCGAACACCGATGGGCAATCGACGAAACGGTGTTTTGGACGGATTCAACAACTGTACTCGCGTGGATCAACAACGACGCACGCCGCTACACCGCCTTCGTGTCACACCGACTGGGTGAAATCGCCGAACGAACGGAGCCGAATCAATGGCGATGGATATCCACCGAATTAAACGTGGCCGACGACGCAACTCGAACAAAATACGCCGACGTCGTCCCCGCGAGATGGCTATCCGGACCGGAGTTCCTGCTGCGCGACAGGGAGGAATGGCCTACACGAAGCAACGAAGAGGGACCCATCTCCGAAGAAATAGTGGCCCACACGACCGTCTCTTCTACGAACGAAAATGAAGCGATGCCGAATATAGAACGAATCGGCAAATACGAATGCCTCATCCGCGCCACGGCCTTAGTACTATTGGCTATCGAAAAATGGCATCGAAAGGGCAGCCAGTTGGAACTACGCCACATGACACGAGCTGAAGATATGTGGCTACGACGGGCGCAACGAGAGTCCTTCGGCGACGAAATACGACTGCTTCAACAAGGAAAGAAGATACCACAGTCAAGCCGCCTATACAAGTTAGACCCCGAGCTGATGAACGGAGTACTGCGCGCACGAGGAAGAATAAACGCCGCGACAGTACCAGAAGAAATGAAGAAGCCGATCATATTGGACGGAAAGCACCCGTTCACACGGAAGATCATCGTGAGAGAACACGAAGCGGCGGGTCACGCAAACAGAGAGCGTGTCATCAACGAATTACGACAACGCTACTGGATATTGCGCCTACGTCCGTCGGTTCGCACCGCCACCCGCGCATGCGTGATGTGCAGAGTTAGAAGATCGAAGCCAACAACGCCATCTACAGGGGACTTACCGCGCGAACGACTCAGCCCGCACCTCAGGCCCTTCACGTGCTGTGGCCTCGATTACTACGGGCCAATGACCGTCACCGTAGGACGACGCCACGAGAAGCGCTGGGGCGCATTGTTTACTTGCCTAACCACCCGAGCGATACATCTAGAAGTTGTGGCAAGCCTCAGCACAGACTCGGCGATAATGGCGATAAGAAGAATGGCAGCGCGGCGTGGATGGCCGAAAACTATAATGAGCGATAACGCAACGAACTTCAAAGGCGCCGACAAGGAACTACAAGCGGCCATACGAGAATGGGCCCCCAGACTACAAGATTACCTGCTGCAACGGCGCGTCGAATGGAAGTTCATCCCCCCTGGCGCACCCAACCAGGGGGGAGCATGGGAGCGACTAGTGCGGTCCGTCAAGACAGCTCTAGCCACAACGCTGCACGAGAGGGCACCGAAAGAAGAGGTGCTCCATACGCTGATGACCGAAGCCGAACACGCGGTGAACTCACGACCGTTGACCCACGTATCGGTCAGCCCGGCCGACGCCGAAGCCCTCACACCGAATCACTTCCTCCTAGGAACATCATCAGGTCTACCACTCACCGGCCCCTGTCGACCCTGCGACAGGCGCCAATGGCGGGCCACCCAAGCGCTCGCCGACAGTTTCTGGCAACGCTGGATGAAGGAATATCTTCCGACGTTGGTACCGAGGGGCGAAACAAGAAAAGAAGCCGCACTTCGAGTAGGCGATCTCGTCATCATCGCCGACCCGAACTCACCGCGCAACATCTGGCCCCGGGGAGTAATCGAACGCATCTTCCCCGGGCCCGACGGCGAGATCCGAAGCGCCGACGTACGCACCAGAGGTGGGCTGTTTCGGCGACCAACGAGGAAGCTCATCGTGCTGACCACCGAGACACTGGACACATTATCCGCACCTCCCCCGGACCAGCGGGGAGGGACGCGCTGCGATCCTGAGCCTGGCGAGCCGTCCGATCCGGCGAAAGGGGCTCCGAGCATCTCTTCGAGCGTCTCTTCGCCGGGGGGAGAACTGTTACGGACGGCGGACATGAAGACCCTTCCCCGCAACCTCACCCCCGCAACGAGTGGAGGGGGCACACCACGGGCAGCAGCGACGGGAGCACCCCCCCGCGACCTCCCCGCCGCATAGTGGAAGGGGCACCGACATAACATGAATCTATTAGGTCAATTGACGCGTTAGGATAGTAGCTAAGTGCGAACGAACAAATCCCACTTAAGTAAACCCGATTTGTATGAAAGCATGCCTACGAACGTTTTCGTACTTTGTACTACAAATAAGAAGAAAGAATAAACGCCTTCAAATCTCCAAACTGTTGTTTCCATCCCCAACAATCATCATTTGCCATCTGACTAGTGTTCGAGATATTTCTTCGAAATAAGATCGCAGATAGATCACAAATCAGTTACTTAATTGAATTACTTAGTTATCTAATCGGAGTATAATAAGGAGAGATTTATTTTTTATATGTTAGTTGTTTATCTCTGAATTCTTCGAAACTCTATTGTCTCCAATTGAAAAGAAAAACCTTTTACCAATTTAGGATGTATATTTATTATGAAAGTAATAATCATTAATACAAACACAAACATAATAATTTGAGTAATGATTAGTTTTTAAAAGTAATCTGACGAGTGTCTCGTCAGATTAATGGAAAGGCCTTAATAATTAGTAGGTATTTATGTAAGCTAGTACAATTTGAAAGAGAAAAATAAAATAACAATCAAATGTTGCTATTATTATTTTATTAAATATTGGGGAGGTATTTATTACTAGATAATTCTAATCTGACATGTATTTTTATACAATACAAAATGTGAAATCACAATATCTAATTCAAAATAGATGAGCAAAAATGACTAGCACGTACAAAATTATCACAAAATTAATATAACTAGTTACAGCTCTGGTAAAGATAGGTTCCTAAATGCTAATTGTTTTTATATTTATTGCACTTTTTAGAAAGTATGACTTTCTTTTATATTCCTATACTTATAGATGTAGAGAATTAAGTTTTGTAATCTTAATAATATAATTTACTTAAAATATTATGCGGATTCAAATGAAGCTTATTGCTTGAGACACGTAGTTATTGATAATTTAATTATAAGGGAAAGCATTATCAATAGATATACACAGTAGCACATCGTAGCCTCATCTGCCTAACTCAAAGCCTTTCAAAGAAATTATGAATTCATTTTATATTAAATATTTCACAGTAAAACAAATGACACTATAGTATAATATTGGTAACAATATTCAAAGATAAAAAATATGATGATAAAAATTAAAAAGATGGCATTGCTTTAAGCTAGGCACCAAGTCCATGGTAACTACAAATTGTCAAAATTCTTTAATAGATTTACTTTCAATGATTTAAAGTTGAAAATCGATTAGAGAAATTTTTTTGTTGTGTATAATTTAATATGCCTTTCAATTTACAACAATAAAAATTACATATTTGCGAATTGAGATAGATGGATTGTGTATAATATTTAACAATACACTCAGATAAATACTTAATTTTATATATTATTTACATTTTCATTTTACTTGAACTACCTAATAGATAGTAATGTGTTAATTATATACAAGAAGAGGTACACGATAAAATTACTTGAAAAGTGCGAAACTATACAAACAACTATACATTGTGATCTTAAAGATCGGTACAAATCTCACGGATGCGGAACTTCTGAATCTGACATAAGGTATATTATGAGATTCGATCTAGCACACTTGACGGAAATTCGTACTATCGCATACTTCAGTTATGTTTCTTCAGTGGTTCATGAATCTTCCGTCAGATTACCACCGCTTAAGTAACACATCAGTTGAATTTTAAAACTATGAAGAACTAGCTGAATGGGGGGTCCCAAAGGAATAATGTGTAATAATAATAATGTACATGAACATAATTAAAATCAAAAACAATTTATTTTATGTTTTTTTACATCTTGTAATACATTAAAAGCTGTTAAATGGGTCACTTAATCCGTGATCATAATTGTAATTGTATCAATTCTTATATGATGTTCTCATGTAATTGACTATATATTTATGAAATCAAAATCCTTAAGCTGAACCAAGGTTTACTTTTGATAAATTGCTGTTAATATATCTTGTTTTACAATTTCGTTTAATTACCATTAAATGACATGTAAATCAAAATTACGCAGCTCTTTACTGACCGAGTATTATTCTAGAGGAGTTTAGTGGTTTTTAAGTATTTTTTAATAAGAATATTTTTCAGTATAGCATTATGAATGCGAAATTAATCAAATATAATAATTAGAACAAATTTTCATATTTATCGAAAGTTTAAATATTTGTAAAAATATTTCTTTCGGCTGTTTGGGTGGATTGCCTGAACATTGATGAGGATACGCTCTGTAGTAGCGAAAAAGTAACAAGTGCTTGCAAGTTTCGTCAGTCCTGTTAGGTCCTGGGTAAGCTCATCATCATAGAGCAGTCGCCCGGATTACAAAAGGTCAATGTGTTCGAAACCCATTTCAGGGTGCCAGGGACTGAGTGGATTTTAAAGCATACTTTTTTAAGAATATTTTTCTTTATAGCATTGCGAATGCTAAATTGCTAAAATATAATATTTACAACGTAGTGTTAGAAAATCTAATTACAGTGCCCTCTACCGCTTCACATTTACACATATGGATGATAACGATATACTTGATACACCTAAATATACATAATTCATTTCTATCCTAAAAATCTACTCTAATTCGTCATAACTATCGTTAAAACTTTGATCAATAACATCACTATCGAAATTTGTGGTGGCCATTTTAGGAATAGGCGATGCTTCCTTTTGTGCCAAAAGCCTGTCACACTCATTCAAACGCCCGTGAAGCACTTCGTAAACTCTTGTCATTGAAGCAACCTTCTCTTTACAAGAGGGATCTGTTTCAATAGCAAACAGACGGGAGTCTAACAATTTTATTGCCGCTACTATGTAATTTCGCAATGTTTTAGTTTTATGCTCACTGCTTATGCGTTCTAAGAATTCGCATACTTGTCTCTCACCGCATAGTAAGACATCTACATCATAGGCTAAAGGCGAATGCTGTCTGTGAAGGTAAGCTATCAACCGTTTTGCATATCTTCGGTACGTCCGGTATGCTTTACGCTTTCTAGAACCAAGCGTTCTACCCATCGTCATGGATTTTTTCATGTCATCGATCACTGCTTTGTATCCAGCGTCAATTTTCGTGTCGAAGATGTCTCGAAGGCGAGTTTCAACAGGCTGCAGCTCATACGGTGCAGGAGACGGCGGAAGGGACGGGGAAGACGGTGGAGGCGATGGTGGGAGTGGATTTCGGGAATTTTCCTCCTCACTGGACTCACTAGATACTCTGCAGTCTGATGGATTGGTTTCAGGAGCTGGGTACGGTCTTGGTCTTGCCCGAGTCCGCTGAACACGTGCTGGTCTCGGTGCTGTTCTAGCATTATACGCTGTGAGAACATTTGCGTCTTGTTCTGTTAAAGGTCGCGCTCTTTGCGTCGCTGCTAACGGTATTATCCTTATTTTTACAAGAGCGTAGCTTTGGTGAATTTTGGCTTTGATCCTTGGATCTTCGTAGTCGCTACCCCAGAGGTCTCTTATTGCGGATTCTTTTAAATATCGCACTTGACAAAGTTCGCCGTTGAAGAATCTTTTCCTTTGTTGCTCGTTTAGTGCATCTCTCTCTGCACCTGTAATGCCATGTATCTTAGTGAGGTGATCAGGAAGTTTCCCGTATGTAAATCGAGCGCAGTTTTCAATGGGGCAAGGTATGTTGGCGTGGTTTTGTTTTTTCGTGCGTACGGTTGGTGCTGGAGGTCGTGACGCCATTTTGATGATTGGTGTTTCTGTAAAAAAAAAAATTCAATTACAATAAATCCTTATGAACCATGAAGTAGATAAGAATATTATGAGACATATACATTATTGGAATTTACATGACTCAAATATGTCATGTGTCTTGTAAATAGTTGTTATCATTAGTATCACTATGTGGTAGATTTGTATTGTAACATCATCGTCACATGAATGAAATTGAATCATATGAATAGGGAGAATGGGTTATGATTGACCCTATAGGGGATGCAGATTGGACGGATAAATTTCATGAGACAGTAAAATATCCTGGTAGTGCTGATAAATAAAATTTGTGGAAAAACATCAATACAATAATTTTAAATTTTCAGTCAAACCTGAATTCAAAAATATAGCCTAACTGATATAAACAGTCATTTACAGATACAAAACTAATAGTTTATTTTTTTTATAAAGACACAAAAAGGTCGATATAAAAGGTCATCGACGATAATTTTAAAATAACATTTATAATTTCTTATATTTTCATGCGCAGTATCCATAAATGTAACAACTTTTAAATGTATCCAATAATATTAGTTTGAAGATAGCTATACTCTGAATTAAACAAATAATTAAAATCCTTAGTCTTATGTGAACTTGGAACCTGTAAAGGTTCCGAAACACAAATAAAACTAAATACTAACGGGATGAAACCGTTTCAAATTTGTTTTATTTATAACATTTTTAATTTATTTTGATATATAACATTAGAGTGATACAACAGCATTTTAAAAGTAAATTACACGAATAATAAAGTATTTATTATAAATTCTAAGATTGATTATTTAATTTTCCTCCCCAGTCAATTGGCGACTAGAGTTTTTCCTAAATGTTTGGATATAGTCCAGTTAATTTATTTAGAGGGGGTGTTTATAGACGGGGCGGCCGACTATAATAATTGTGTTGACGGAGGCCGCCGGCTGTTTGCGGACTGAAGGCTCTTGTCCTGCGACTAATTTATTGAAAACAATGCTCTTCGATGGCTGTACTGTCGTAAGGTTATTTAGAAGGAAGTCCCTCTTTATTGGGGAAGTGGAGGGGGTTCCAGTATAATAATAAATGTATATATTACATTTTCGGACATTTTTTTAACTCAGGAATAAAATCTGAATACGGTGATGACAAAAACGAGACCATTTAAAGCGTGTTAATGTACCGATGTCTTAAGTGTCGTATTAATTTTGAGTTGGTTGTATTATTAAAATATGCGGATCGACCAAACTGCCTGATATAGCTGGTGACATTGCTTGGAAGACTAATTATCAAATTTTATAATCTACCGAGTAGCTTGGTGACGTAGTGTATAAGCGTCGCGGCCCGCGATCGTTGTCGTTAAGCAACTTTCGCAAGGGTCGGTCACGGGATGGGTGACCAAAAAATTATTATGTCGAGCTACTCCGTGCTTCGGAAGGCGAATATATGTTTTACCTGACTATTGTCAGGGGTAAGGAACAATTCTTTTTTTTGTAATATTATTTCAAAACTATGTTTGCCAAAATCACATTTGATACCTATAACACTGATTATAAAGTCAGGTGTAACAAACTTGAAATCTTATTGATACATAAAAAAGTAAATATGATTGTGATATGTGTGTATGTCCATGGCCATATCGATTATAACGGGTATCTTATGGAGACTTTAAAAAAAATACACGATTATTAGTACCACAGCATTATTTTATACACACGTTTTTATATAACAGATTGAAAATGATATGGAAAACTATAAAAAACTTCTCAGCCGCCATTTGAAACTCTACAAAAAACAGTCATCTTATAGTAAAATTTGATTGAGATACCTAGTAACATAAACGGGTAGTTGGACATTACTTATTTATTTTGTTTTATTCCTCGCATTTCAGCTGATACATGGTCACCATTCTCGGACAAATATCGCGCAGCCATAAAAATGACTAATCCGACTGTACTTTAATAAAACTTTTTTCCATCACTATGTTAATTAGTAACAATAATACCCAAATTAATTTATAACACAGAAAAAATAACAAACACTTAAAATATTAAATGCAAACCACTTTACAAATCAAATTTTATCAATATAAACATAAACACTCCGCATCTCCCGCAGTCGAACCTGACTGTCGCGTCACGACGTGACGTCATCGCATAGCGCGCAAAGAAACGCAATTTTTAAAAAGCAGTAATTTTTAACGTTGTAACTCTAGTAATCCTAGCTCGATTTCGATGAAACAAAAACTATTATTATTTGCACGAGTACGCGCATTAAATGTAGTTACTTTTGTAGTAATATTTTGATGTGCTAGTTTAGCTTATTAGGTCCCTGATTTTTGCGGATATGATAGAGAGGTTTAAAAAGATCACGTGATACTTTTTGTATCCATTTTTTCGCTTACATAAGAATAGTCAGACATCGTCTGCTTAAATGACAGAAATGAACTGGCAATAAAATCTCAATACCATAAAATAATGGTATGGAACTACTTGCAGTATGTGAACGTGGGTCGGTTATAAAACACTATTATCGAATTTCATCATTCATAAATGGTTGACATGGGTACTCTGGTACAGCTATATTATGAGAATTAATGAAATAAACGAGAATAAGAGGGCGAAGAAGATGGGTGTTAATGGTTGGAGAGCAAGAAAACGACGAAGATGGAACGACTGTATGAGTCATGATATGAAAGTGAAGGGAGTGAGCGCAGAGGACATAGAGTGAGTACAGGGCAAAGAGATGATGAGTTCATTATAAGGTCATATTTTTGTTTATCAAGGAGATAATGTATTCAGATATCTAAAAACAAATTCTTTGACAAATCAAATATTTGAAAGAAAGAAAGAAGAAGTTAATTGACCGTTCATATACATCTGTTCGTATACAATAATAATGCGCAAGAGAGGAAAACAAATAAAATAAAAGGAAATACAAAAATTCATGAGTTAACAAAAAGAGCGGTCAACATGGACCCTATCTCAGCGATGGCCCCTGTGCCACTTTAATATGGGCAAAATAACACAGAGGCGTTGTTATTCTGAAAGGGCCCATTGGATATTTTACTATAAATAAAAATAAAAATAAAAAATGAAAAAGAAATAAAAAATATAGGTTACAATGCCAATAGCCAAGAGTCTATGGTTGATAAAACACAAAAACAAGTCTCATAAAAAAGCTATACCTACATGAACTATTTATATAAACTATTTATATAAACAGATACATAATAATATAATAAATACATGATGGAAAAAATAAAATAAAATAATATAATATAAATACACCAGCAATAAGTATAATATTGAGTCAGGCCGTATGTGCATGATTCCTCTGCCCTTCTCAAAGGACAACACGGCCAATTGTCAAAAGTTCTATGTCTTACGCAGACCTGAACAAAAAAATACCCTTACATATAAATAAAAATATCATGCGTTATTTTTATTTATATAATTAAAATAACGCAGGAGATGCCACGTATTTGCCACGTTCCATTCATATGAAGCTCATATTCGAAATATCAAATAATATCAAGAAATATTTGATTGTTTGTTTGCATCTTAAAGGCACTGAAACTATTAGACTGATTTTAAAATTTTACCTACAATAGTTTGTTTTGTTATGATCAGTGGAATATGACGACACTGTCCTTTGGCCATCGCTATTATAATATAGCTATCGCTATAAAATTCTTGTTTTAAACTTTTTAGAGCGTAATTTAGCTGCAGTTCGGTTTTAGTTTTTAACTCATATTTTAATAATACCGATAGATTATCTGTCCGTTGCACTTAAGTCCATTAAAATAGTCTTTATTTTAAAGAGACAACCGATTAAAATATTTAAAACGTCATTAAACCTTAATAGATATTTGTGGAACTGGGTGAGTGAATCCGATATAATAATGTTGCGGAACTTAAACATCATCTTATTATCTTAAAAATTAACTTCGAATAGAAATTCACGGGAGCGTTAAATTGTTAAAGTCTCCATTTCAACTTTGGCAAAATAACAATCATCTTAGATTGGACCAATATTTATATTGTAAATTAGCTCGCGTAGCCGCATGAGACCCAGACGAACAAATAACTATAGAACAATTCCCTCGAATCTTAGCCTGTTGTTATATTAAAAATTTCATAATTAATAACTTCTATCGATTTCTTTACTTTTCTAACAGACATCAAAAAACGAGGGTACATCAATTCGAATTTATTTATAATAATATAATTATCAGAAGATACAGATATTTATGATAAAATTTTAATAACGCAAAAAGTCTAATAAAAATTTATTTATTAAAACAAAATGTCAACAATACAAAAATAGAAAAAAGTAATTGCCAATCTACATATTAATAATAGAGTTCTCATCAAGTTATATAATCACTAATATAAAAAATATGCCAACTTTAATGGTATACTCGTAAAAAGATAGATTGATAAGGAATGATGATGAATGATTGTTTCTATATTGTATGTTATCCGAAATGTTAGTAATAATGGTTCGTCTTCGATGATTATTTTTGTACATGAAAAATTCTTTTCTCAGGCTGTTTTCATAAAAAACATTAGGTATTTATTAACTGTCTTGTTATAAATTTTAGGAAATAGTAATTTCAGACCTTTCTTATTACTAAAAAGGCTTAATTTTTTTTTTTATAAATGGAAAGGAATTTAAATTAAAAGAAAAAACATTTTTGAAATCAGGTGTGTAATATAAATTAATGTTTAACTATAAATAAAGATCGAGCTGATTTGAATTATATTATATTTTAGGACTTTTTATTTTAAGTATTTGTTGGATTTTAAGGCTGTTCTAGTTTATTTATAGTTATACGCTCTATCGATATTGTTATCCTTTCAATAGCGGTTTTTATACAAGGTCAAACTTAAAGCGCTTAGAAAAAAAACAATGAACAATTACTTTTGTTATTTTTTTCAAAATATTGTTTATTTACTGCAACACATGTTTTTTGTTACACTTCAACCTCTCATCACTTTAGATGGCAACTCTCTTCGAAAGAAACGTCCATTAAGCAGATTGATATTAGATTTCGTGATTATCATAGTAAATCCAGCTTTCGTTACCCGTAACTAGGTCGAACACAGTAT